CCGGAAGGCGCCCGGCTCTGCCGGGCCGGGCCGGGCCGGGCCGGGGCTGCTGCCGGCGTGCGGCACGGGTAGCGCTAGCGCCAACTCCGTCAGCCGAGGCGCCACGTCCCGAGCCCGGGGTGGGTCCGCACGTGCGGGCGGCCGTTGTGCAGAAGGGCCGCGTTCCGTGGTGCGGCCGCGCGGAGCGGCCCGTGGCGCGGCCTGCCGGCCGCGAGGGGTGAAGCGCCGCCCTGGGGCAGAGCTGCGCGGGGCCCGAGGCGCGGGCCCGGCCCCCTCGCCACGGCGCCGCCGTGGTGCAGTGCGCGCACGGGGCTGGCCGCAGCCTGCAGCACCTGTCCGTGGGCTGTCCCCTCCAACGTTGCACTGCGTTTCACAAACCCACTCTTGTTGAGCTTCCTGACTGTTTCCTGGATGGAGCTTATCCCTCATCAGATTCCCGATTCCAAGTTCAGAACCTCAGCCCAGTCCTAGTTACTTCACTTAAAACAAGGTCTTCTTTTGCCCGTTCCCTCCTATCTGTACATGGTGTGGTTTTYGGTTTGAATTGGCATTTTTGCAGGGCTGTCAGCAGAAATGCAGCTGAGGTATGGGTGGTACAGGTGWCAGTGCTGGCTGTGGTGTTTGTGCCTATAACCCCATTTCTGTTCTGTCCACAGACACCCTGTACTGGTGGTTGATACACAGGTGACGAGGAGCCTCCCTGTGCTGTGAAGATGTGTCCTTGCCCTGCAGTGTAAGGATCTTCTGGTTCTGTCCTGTTTCCAGCCCCGCTCTCATCCAGATCCTCTGGGATACTCTGATCCTGTGTCAAGCTCCTCCTTGCCCTCATCATGAACATGCCTCTTCATGTAAGGACACAATGTGCTTAACGGATGAGGCCCAAATTACAGAAAATACCCACCACTGGCAAAGTTCCCATTAAATGGTCCCCTTCTGTTTGGATTCCCTTTGCAATTTTGTGTGCCARTCCATCGTTTCTGTATCTGTCTTCAGTAAAATGCCCCACCATGGTGTCATTTCAAATACCTCTGGGACTGTCACCAAGTTTAAGCCTACTACATTAACAATGCACAAGGTCATAACGTATGCCCTGGCAAGTGACAAACCTGCACTTTCCTAGGTGTAGGACACACATTGCAATCTTAAATGTTTCACAATCTGTGTCTAATATGTGACTAATATCTCCAAGAAACTGATTTTTTGGCTTGGACAACAGGCATTAAGCTTGACATTAGTCCAGGAATAATCGCTGCTTGTTCTGCAAGTCAACCTGGTATAATTTGAGAGAGGAATGGAACCCTGAGCAGAGAAGGCAAAGCTTCTTGAAAAGGTTCATCTTAAAAGGCAGCCATTAGAGATATGTTCTGTGTGTGGTTATGTTTGGTATCTTCCAAATTAGTCACAGCAAAGGCGGATTAAACAGCTAAGGGTGAGCTGAAGATGTATAATAATGCACGACATGACACTCCTGTTTGTGTTGCACATACCAGCGAGGCCAGCAGTTCTGCTCTTTTTTTTCCAGGTTAGCACGAAAGCTGTAGAGAGGCATTAACGGCTGGAGATGATCAAAGTAATCTGGCCTAACTGGATGGTTTTCAGTTCAAATGTAGATGTTGATATAACAGATCCTAAGCTACAGAGGTTTTCAGCTTTCAAATGAAATAGGCTTATAGTGCTTTCGTTTCACAGCTGACATATATATATGTGCCTCRTCAAGTATCCCTTTTTTTCTGGATGGTATCTGGCGTGGAAGATCAGGGAGAAAATTTCATAAGGGCAAGTAATGACCTGCTAAGGGATGTAGGAAAGAATTGATTTAACTTTTGTGTGTGTGTGTGTATATATATATATATATATCTTTTAATTCCTTTTTGTAGTTTTCAAATTGAAAGCAGGTGGACATATTTATCTAAGAACATGACAGTGAGTTTACCCCACAGATACTTTTTAATCAATAAAGCAGTTTGTGGAGGACTGTTTGTCATGCGCAAAGGTGACACCCAAGTTGTAATCTCCCCCGACTTGTAACACTTAATATTTTAGTAATATTTTAGTAATTTTACATTTAAAATACATAGTAACACCAGGTGCTTATGAAGAATCTTACCAACTATTGCACATTTGGTATTTTGTGTCAGTAACACCTGAAAGCAAAATCTTCCTCAAAAAGTGACATTCTGCAAACATGCRTGGTGAGCCTTAAAAATCAAAGGCAGAAGTTGTTCTGCTTGACCTACCCTACAGGTCATCTTTCAAAGGGAGTGGAGGGAGGAGGTTCACACAGAATTAGCAGGATGAAGTTTATGCTCTTAATATATTTATATATGTGCGTATACCTCTACCACATAGCGTAACATTTTTAAACAGTAAGTGTTAAACAGGTAACTACTAGACTGCTAAGCTTTCAGAAGAGATTTTTTTTTCTAATAATGTGATAATCCAAAGTGGAAAGTTATTTTCCTCTCCTTTTTATGCAACTAGTATGTTATACATCTTAATGTATGCAAATACGCATTTTTAGAATACAGGAATCTTATGACTTAGGTAAGTCTGAAATGTAAAACAGCAAAGATGCAATTAATTTGTGACTTGTTTTTCAGAATAAATTAATCCTTACCATTATAAAATTCTAAATCACAGATTGAAATAGTTAATAAACACTTCGTTCATGAACTGTGCGTCTGTGAATATTTTAATGTAACCTAAAATGTAATGAGCAACTTCCAAACAAGCTCTTGCTTGTAAATATTCATCAACCTGTTGTTTTTTTTGTTGTTTTTTTTTAACTGACATTTAGTATGGCCTAGTAAAGGAGGAAAATTAATGCAAGGTAAAAATAGGGAAGGGAACAAGAATGAACAAGATAAACTGATTCATTAACAAAACAGAAAGGTTTTTGAAAAGTCAAGTATAAAAATGGCTACAGCCCATGGCCGGTTGGCCAAGATACACACGAATAATCCACACAATGGCCTTGGCAGCATGACACTGATAATATTTTTTTGCAAGGTTCAGTTAAGGCTGAACAATGTCCTAGTATGTTAGGCACAAACATACTGATATTTTTATTATGTGTCAGGCATGCATGTATTCCTTTTTTGTCTTGGAGAAAAACATCTGCCACTGTTATTTAAAAGCGATTTCCGTATTCCTCCTCTTGGAGAGACTGTATGTCAAATGCGTGGGACTCGAATGATTTGTGTGTGTGTGCGGATGTTCATGTTTTATGTGGGATCCGCACTTGCGGTTCTGCTGTTTGGGAACCTCAGGAGAAATTTTATATTTTGGAATTCAKGGATCAGACAGCTGTCATAGAATAGGCCTTTTACAAAATTTCTCAGCCTCAGGAGACTGAGAGAGCACAAAGTCCATCACAGAAGACAAGCATAGGAGACTCAAACATGGGACCCATGCAGGCATCTGGTGAAGAGGATACTGAAATTTTCCGCCTATTTGTATGATTTTCAAAGGCAAAAAATGGCCCTTCATGATCATATCTGAAACCTCTATATACAGAAGTGATAAAAGCTGTATATTAAAAAAAAAAAAAAAAATACAGACATCCAAGCACAACCCTGCCAGTATACATATATGGTGACTCTAAAGATGTGCATTTATATTTGTACATGTAAATGTTTAACTTTAAAGATCTCTAAGGATAATAAGAATACAATGTTTTTTTTAAAAAGGAGTCAAACTATTTATTGGTGTGTACCATTCTAATTCCTTAACTTTTAATAATATTAGGCAATTACTGTTGAAGATTCCTGTGGAAAAGCAGTGATAAGGGGACCCAAGCAGTCTAGCCAAAATACAGTTTTCCTGGCAGTCACCAGGAAAAGTTCATAGGACCAGTTTTATACCTAGCTTGGTACTTACCTGCAGTGTGACCTTGYATAAATTATTCTTCCCTCTCTGTGTCTCCTTTTTTTCTCCCAYGCTTCGTTATTCCTCCTGGTCTGCAAAGGCAGAGGAGTCCTCGCCAGGCTCTGCCTGTCTTACCGTGTCGAGCGCTGGTTGATGTTAAGTTTTGGGCAGACTAGGTGATAGTGTCATACCAGCAGCGACATGCTGGCACACTCATGGAAACACGAGCAGCCGTGCGTTTAACTTGAAGTTTTCTTTTCTTTTTTTTTTTTTTTTTTTTTTTCAGATTTGCTT